CAGAGTTCACATGACGACTATACCTACTGGGGGCAACAGGTGCCAGCATATTGCTATGCAGAGTAGTCTCAAATAATTTCAGATTATGGTCTGAAAAAACTGCATCCTTAGTAGTCAGATTATCTACTGAACACCCCGGTGATATCACAAGATCCAGTGTGTGGCCATATTCCTGTGTGGCCCCATTAACCCACTGCGTAAAAGTCAAAGAGTTCACAGGGTTGATGAAATCTGGGACTAAAGGTTTTCCAGGACAGCAGATATGAATATTAAAGTCTCCCAGTAGCAATATCCGCTTTTATCTAGCAGCCCAGTTTGCTAGGACTTCTGAAAACTCCAGCAAAAAATCCTCATTGTATTTCGGGGGTCTATATACTACAGCACAGAGGATTAGTTGCGGATGACCACGTACGAATAAGCACAGTTCAAAACTTTTCCTCTCTTTTCCTGTTGATGTTCTTATTCACAATAATTTTTCATTTCTTCAACAATATATCCAGATGAGATGATGGTAACATGAAACAGTTAAGTTCTGGTGACAACTCTAAGGGTTAGATGATGATCTTTTGAAATGATTTTACTCTACTCTACTCTACTCTACTCTACTCTACTCTATTCTATTCTATTCTATTCTATTCTATTCTATTCTATTCTATTCTATCTTATCGTTGTTTATCCAGGAAGGAGTCTTTTTCAATGGCATACTGGAAGGTAAATGGAATGAGGAAGCTGGGGTCGAACCAGCAGCCTGATTGGGGGTCAGCTGCTCTTCCCAACAGCCCACTTTGGACATTATTAACATATTTCATGTTACTACTGCCAAAAAACACTACATGTTTACCTTTCCACATCTGAGAAGCTGAGTCATCATTATTTAGAGCTAAAATGTCCTGATATCAGTCGCTGCTCAATGTGAGCCAACGAGCTGCTGCCTTTTGTGAATCACTCATGCTTTTTTTAGCCACCTCTTATCAAATCAAATCATTTCCATAAATATTTCATTTTCAACTCAGCTGGTTAAAATCTTTAAAAGAAAGATTATAATTAACATTGCTTTTGAGATTATTGATTTTGTTTTGATAAAAATGAAATCATCCAACCTACCGGTATATGACTTGAGTTAATGTCTCATTACAAACTAAACGATTGTGCTGAGAAAGTGTGTGTTGGAGTCAGGCGAATGTGGTGAATGCATGAATCCAGTCCTGCTGTCGGTGACTGAGTAATGACATCACTTGTGTGGATTCCAGGGTGGTCCTTTCATAGCCTCAGAGACACACGTCCACACAAACAAATCACTGTTAGTCTATGTCTGTGTTGACCAGAGTGTATCACACATCACATATGGGTGAGTCCAAGTACATATGTCACTTTGTTCTCTTTTTTAACACTTGTGGTTCACACACTTGTTAAGAGTTCCTCCTGTACTTTATTTCACTCTAAAACTTTTTATTAAATGAGTCAAATACATTCACTTACACACCCACGTGCGGGAAAACGAAAATCCCCTCTGACTGTGTCCTTTTTCTGCACAATCTTTCTCTTTTACAAGACATAGTCACCAGCTGCTACGGAAAAATGCACACATACACACTTGCACACACACAGTGACATGATCTCAGGCTCCAAGTGTCTGATGACAGTGTCGAGAATGTGCACTGAAAGACCACTGACACTTCCTCTAATTTCTAGTACTGACGACCAGCCTCAGGCTGCTAAAGCCCTGATGGCTGTTCCCTCTAGAAAGTTAATGGCCCTAAACTGCACAAGACGAGTAGAAGGGATTGACTTTCATCTGCTCTGGTAGCTGTCTCAGTGGCTCCGTCACTTGTGATTTACAGATCATTAATGCTCCTGCTATCTATCAGCTTCTGCCTCTAAAGGCTGAGCTACTGCTTTATCTGGATTTAAATGCTGATTTAAAAACCTCTAATTGCTTGCAGGTTTGGATCATTCCTAATGAGGTTAAAAATAAATTACCACAAACACCAGAGGGAAAGAGAAAGAAAAATATTATAATAGAAAGCATGTCAGAACAGAGAGGGGTGGGTTCAGTGCATTTTGTCTTCTTTATAATTGGATTTATAAATAAATTGATTTGTTGCCATGTGGTTGGCTACTTAGCTTTTTGTTGGAGAATAAAGTACGTGAATGTGTGTGTGAATGGGTGAATGACTGATTGTGTTGTGAAGCACCTTGGGGGGTTGTGGAACCTTAAGAAGGCTCTATTGAAACACGCTCTATTAAAACACAGGCCATTTCTGTTTATAAAATATGCATCGAAAAAATATTTTTCTAAACTCACTGTGTTCTGAAGATTAACTTTATTTTTGATTG